TACATCTATCTTTGAGCACATCACAAAAGCTGCAGCTCAGTGCCACTTGGACAGACTCTTCACGCCAACAGGGCTGAGACTCCACAACTCCCGAGCCGTGTAGACTCCTTCCAGGCAATCTGCAGCTTCCCTCACCTGCAGCGAGTTCGTTGGAAGAACACTGAGCAGATCAACCATTCTCCTGTACGCCTCAGCCTTGGGCACGAAAATTGCAGGATAAACCTCCACCAACATCTTGTGCTAAAGCTGCAGCTTCCTCCACCCTGCAGAGTTCTGGCCCAAAGGCCTGAGACAGCTCAAACTCACCTGTCAGCCATCTTCCCAGCCAACCTGTAGGCTCCCTTCCTCCACCTGCAGATTCTGGCCAAAGGCTGAGTACTCCTGCAATCCATGTCAGCAACAGCCACCACCTCCACCTGAAGATTCTGGAAGACTACAACCCACACCACCATCTGTTTTATGAAGATTGTAATTGTAAAGTGTTGTCGACAAGTGTGTGGGTTACCTTTGTAAACTGCTGCAATAAAAGTGGAGTAGACTGTACAAAGTGTATTTTCAAATTATTTTAAAATTAAATGAAACCAACTTAACAGTATAAGCAACATATTAATCGATTTATGAAAATAATGAAAAGTATAAACATTCATATTTTTTGCACTGGTTTTGTATTACCAGAGATAGGTCAGTAACCACAAGGAGCATTCCTTTATTTTATCACTTAAAATATACTAAATATACAAATGGTACATGTTTGGTATTTGCGTTTTCTTTTCTTTCAAAATTATTTAGTTTGGTTTAAAATATTTACTGTATGTTTTAAGCTGAATTTGTTCTCTTTGTTGTCTACATATTATTCAATATATTTTTTGAAAAAGTGTTTGTAGGTCTACTTGTATAATCAAAGGCCAGTGATGTAATTAGTTTCTCTAATGAAATAATCTGAAAACCAACCAAAACATTTCAGTAAAAATACACATGGATGGTGCAAATCCAGTAGTGAAAACACCCTGTAATAGTAAACTTATCAGCACAGAAAATATTTAATATTTAATTTTAATTTGGACTTTTACTTACCAGTCAAATGTGCTGACAGCTCTGATGGGGCTGGACTCATTACTTCCATCCTCTGCCAGCAACAGGCAGCTTTCTCCTCATCTGAAATCATTGGGACATCATCATTACCTCACGGATGATACTGACGTATTTTGAACTTCAAATCATTCATTTATTGGAATGTGTTGTAGCCTATTACACGGCCAAAGGGAGCATTCTGCATTATACTAGTAATTTTACCTTTGATAATGATAATAAGTCCATTATTTACTGTACTTAAAGTCTCCTTTCAGTCAATAATATGTTTTTCATTGTGCAGAATGCTGTATGTGCAGAGTTTGACACTAAAAGGATGTTTTCACATTCATCTGCTGAAAGTGGAAAGTTTCTCTGTGCTCCCTGAGATCTGATTTTTAGGGGGCGGGGCCTACCAGCATGATTTGTTACATCACAAATATTTAGGAAGTACTCAGATATTCTGGAAGTTTTTAATGAGGTAGAAGGATTTTAATGTGGAAATTACACTTTTTTTGTGGAAAAAACGTTTAGGCGTGAAATTTCTCGGATTTAGAAATATAATATAGTCCTTTGCAGTTGACGATCACCCCAAGGCAGTCAGTATTTACAAGATCTAACCAGCAACTGTGAATTACTGATAAACTGCATCCTATTATGCCTTGCGTCGGGCTAAGTGCTGGCCCCTGTGATTTATAGTTCCACTGGGACTCTGGAGCCAGACATGGCTTTTACTACCACAACCACAATGCACCTCAGCCAAGAACGCCCCCACATGCATGTTCATGTGTACATGTATGTATGTGTATGTGAGTCCAAATCATGCAAAAGACAGTGGTTGGAGGGTGTTTTTGTCATACATTTGTTAACAATTTAAAGTCGCAGAAGATAATTCGCTCTCTGGATTTCTGCAAATCAAAGCAGTAAAGACAATTAGGTAATGTTTGGACAGTGAGGAAATGGCTAGAGGCTCCATTGGCTAATTTACAACCTGTTGAAAAAGCTAAAGGAACGAGTTGTGTGGTAAAAATGCAAGCTGGGCTCAGGCCAGAAGAGCCAGCAATCCAGTGTCTCCGGGTAACATGATAATTTCGAGCCTCATGCTGACGGGAATGTGACGTGACCAGCCTAAAAAAAACTATGAACCACCAGAGTCTGTGTGTTTCAGTCAGTCCCTGGGGCAGAATGCTGCATTATTGCGCAGTCATACGCAGCTATCAAGATATCCAGAATGCATTGTTGGGAATATTGTTTAGACTGTGATATATGCTTTCATAAAAAACGTCCTCTGAGTCTCCTTGGATATCAGATAAAGTCTTTAAGTTACATGCTGTGCCAAAAATCGTGCTGATCGTTGCTGCTTTCAAAAGTAGGGGACACTTATTGGGTGGGGTCTTTAGACCTTGAGAGGGTCAATATGACTTACTGAAAGATTCAACACATCCAAAAACCAAAACATTTTAGCTGTCATTAATGATTTCTCTGTCATTAAAGGTGGTGTAAGCGATATATTTTTTGTTAAAATAAGTGTTCAATAGCTCTACACTCAGCTCTATCAGTGATCAGCCATCACTGATATAGAGTGTTTACTCAGTATTATGGGTCTCTCAGTTCTTCCTTCCTGCATTAAACACTAGAAAAACATTTTCTAGTATCCCGTTCCCATTTTATCCAATCAGTAGAGAGAACTCCAAAAACAGACAGGCCTCAGGGGCAGGCAGCAGAATTTCAGTGTGGTGATGTGGGGAGGAGGGAGCGTTTGTATTAACGCTGGATTAAATGACTTTGTGTAATGTGAAAGGGGTTGCTCAAAGTGATGTACCCACAGACAATTATCACTAGAATCTACAGTTCC